AGATATAGATATAGATATAGATAGATATAGATATAGATATAAATATAGGTAGATATCACAGGCAGAAACAGTAAAGGCATCAGTGTCAAAGGGCCAACTGAAATAAATACAGCAAGCGGGGTGAGCAGTTAAATAAAAGGAGAAATAAAGGAGTTAGTAACAGATAAACAATGCAGTTATGGAATCAGCCCATATCGCTAATTTTCAAGGTAAGTAACCTCAACTATCCAATCAAGAGACCCAGATTGACAGAATGCATCAAAAACCAAAACCCAACTGTGTGCTACATTCAAAAAACATACTTATATTTAAAGAAATCCATAAATTAACAATCAAAGGGGGGAAACAATTTTCACGCTGCTGGAGCCTAAAAGCAAGCAATAGTAGCTATACTATTTTCAAACAAAGTAGATTTCAACCCAAAACTGATCAGAAGGGACAAAGATGGTCACCACATACTGATATAGAGAACACTTCAACAGGGAGAGAACAATTAGACTATAATGCTTTGTGAAATTAATCAAACACAAAAACTAGTTTTTCTTATATGAGAAATCCAAATTACAGATGGTTCAAAGAGTACAATAAAATACAGATAATACCAAACAGGGAGATGAGCCTTTTGCAAATAGAACAAGTCCTAGAGATGGAAAAAGGGAGAGGGAGGGGGAAGGAGAGGTGGGGAAGAGGGACAAAAAGGATTAAGATGCGATATGTAGGGCCGGGGATATAGCTCAGTGGCATAAGCGCATGCCTGGCAAGCAAAGGTCCTGCATTCCATTCCCAGTACCGGAGGTGATATGTACATGTACCAATGCCCCAAGATGAGTGTTTTCATTATGTACTAATAAAAAACTTTAAATTAAAAAAAAGTGTAATAATCACTGAAGCCAGGCATAGTGGTACACTCCTGTAATCCCTACACTCTGAGAGGCTGAGGTCAGAGGAATATAAATTCAAGCCCAGTCTCAGCAACTTGGCAATTTAACAAAATCCTGCCTCAGATTAAAAAATTTTAAAGAACTGAAGTTCAGTGCAAAGGTCTTGGGTTCAATCCCTATTACTGCAAAAAAAAAAAAAAAAAGGTATGACTGATGTACATATAGCATTGTATATGTATACACACATAACTGTATATTATATAAAACATCTTTTATTAGTGAATTTTAAGAGTACTTTATATGTTTTAGATACAAATCTTTTGCCAGACATATAGTTCGCTCGTGTTTTTTCTCAGTCAGTAGCTTGTCTTTTTGGACTTTTAACAGTCTTTAACAAGTTGGGTATGGTAGAGCACAGCTATAACCCCCTGTTCCCCCCCAAAAAAAATCAAAACAAAAACAAACAAACAACAAAAAGTCTTTAACAGAGCCAAACTTTTCCACTCTGATGAAATCCAGTCAATCCATTTTCTACATCAGTTTTTGGTGACATATCTAAGAAATACTCATCAATCCCCAGGTCACTAAGATTTTTTTACTGTGCTTTACTTTTGAAGTTTCATTACTTTTAACTTTTATGTTTAAATAACTATGGTCCATTTTGAGTTAGTTTTTCTGTAAGTTGGGAGACTTAGGCTAAAGTTCATTTCGTTGTTCATGGATATCCAAATACTCCAGCACCACTTCTTGAAGACTTCCCTTCCTCTCTCTTGGATTGCTTTTGTAGCCTTATCAAAAATCTGTTGCCTATACTTATGCCAGTCTTTGTCTGTTCGCTATTCTGTTGCTCTGATCATGTATCTATGATCTGCCAGTATCACAGTCTTAATTACTATAGCTAATTAATCAAGGCCAAGTAAGGTGATTTATCTATAATGTGTTCTTCTTTTTCTAAATTGTATTAATTTTTCTAGCCCCTTTGTCTTTTCTTAAAAATTATCCTGTCCATATCTATAAAAAAATCTTCCTGGCACACTAAAGACTTACATTAAAACTTTATAATAATTTATGAAGGACTGACAAGTTTATGATGTTGAATCTTTCACACATATGGTGTAGTCTTTCAACTTATTAAATATTCTTTAATTTCTTTCATCGGTGGTTTTTTTGGAGTTTTGTAGATCTATGTATGTTTTATTAGAATTATATCTAAGTAATTATTTTTAGCATTATAAATGATACTGTATTTTTGTTTAGTTTCTATATGGTCATTACTACTATAAAAACATAAAATACATCTTGTACTCTGAGACCATGCTAAACTCACTTGTTAATTCTAGGAGGTTTTTGTAGACTTCTTAAGATTTTCTATGAAGAAATTAGGTTATCTGCAAATAGCAAACATTTTATTTTCGTCTTTCTTACCTTCATGCCTTTTATTTCTTTTTTCTTCTTTGTGCTGGCTAGAACTGCTATTACTACACTGAATACAGCTGGTGTAAAGAGACATCCTTGTCTTATTTCTGATTTTAGTGGGAAACATCCAGTCTCTTGCCATTAAATATAATGTTAGCTTATGATTTGTGTGGAAGTTGAGGAAGTTTCACTCTGTTCTCAATTTCATGAGAGGGTTTGTAAGGTTTTTATTAGGTTTTATGAGGGTTTGAGCTTTGTGAGATGTTTTTCTATGTCTTTGGAGATGATCATGATATCACTTACTATGATATGTTACACTGATTTTTCATTATTAAACCAGCTTTATTTATGTCCATCGATTATAATCTACATGGTCATGCCATCTAACTATCTTTTTATATTGCTTAATTCTATTTGCCAATCCTTTGTTAAGGTTTTTTGAGTGTATATTCATGTTGATCTGTACTTTTGCTCTTATATATGGTTATTATTTTGTTTTTATATTAAGAAAAGCCAATCTCATAAATTGGTAAGTGTTCTTTTCTCTTCTGAGTCTGTCTGAGTTCATGCAGATTTTACTTTTATTCACCATGGTTTTTTTTTTTTGTTTTCTTGAGACAGTGTCTCACTATGCAGCCCAGGCTGACCTCAAATTCATGGTGATCCTCCTGCTTCAGCCTTTCAGGAGCAGGGATGCAGGTATGTGCCAGATATCCTTAATGTTTTATGTTTTCTAAATAAAATATAAATCAAGGGGAGCAAATCTCCTACATAAATTTGTTTTCTTATTGGAGTTTTGCTAAATCATTCATTATATTTTTCAACACACTTAAAGTATTTCATTACTTAAAAATAAAAATATTTTTAAAACTAGAAGGTGCAAGTAATAGCAGAGCACAAAGCTATTTGAACAAAATATCCATCAATTTATATTAAAGAATATAAAGTTGCACTTATCTCCCTGACATTTTTAGAACTCCAGTTCAGTATTCCCAATTCTAAAAATAGCAAAGGTAGGGAAGTTAACAATATTTTAATTTCACAGAAGTTATAATTTGTGACTGTTGTGAACTAAACATAGCTCCAAGTGCTTTACAGTCTCCATTGTTAGGTGAAATCTTTTGCTTTTCTGCTCAAATCGGAGCTGGTCTTATGCTTGTTTTAGCCAGCTCTATCACAGAAATGAAGCCATGTATTTCTGATGCTGACCTTTACTTGTCAAGTGTTTTCTTCCTGTTGGAACGCTCCTGCCTGGATTCCAGCCGCCATCTTGTGAGGAAGCCAAGGCAACCACATATAAGGCCCATATGGAAGAGAACAGGGGTCTCTGGGCAACCAAGGCTGAGCCCCCCAGCCAACAACCAGCAGCAAACTGCCAACCATGTTCGTGAGGCCTTCTTTAATCTTCTAGCTATTTTAGCACTCCAACTAACTTCACTTCATATGGAACTCCCCAGTCAACCCACAGATTCATGATAACTTACTGCCTTAAAGGACTAAACTTTGAGCTAGGTTGTTATATAGCAACACATGACTAAAATGCAGGCTTAGGAAAATTTGTGGTCCAATCTTAAAATCACCATCTAGTTAATGGAAACTAAGAATAGATCACTGAATTCTAGATTATTAGTCCAATAGGGTTTTTTTTTTCTCCATAAGATGCTCTATTTCTTTTTAAATTAGTATATATGGATATTAGTAAAAATCCCAATCCTCAAAAATATATACTTCTGCAGTAAAATGTGGTGGCACACACCTGTAATCCCAGCACTCAGGAGGCTTAGGCAGGAAGATTGCTGAGGGTTTAAGGGAAGCTTGGGCTACATAGTGAGTTCAAATCTAGCCTGAACTACATATCAAGACCCTGTCTCAAAAGAAATTTATATATTCTGCTGCAAATGCATAGACATTCCTGTTAATATTTACATGTGAAGAATGATGGAATGCAAACCAACAGGAAGACCAACTATAGATAATCAGTTGCTATAACTTATACCTAAATGAGTCCACTACAGTTCTCCTAGAAGACTAACTACTTGAGAAGAAGCTTCTTATACCAGAGTAGTCACATTGTGTTCATTTCCTCTTTAGATCTCTTCCAATGGAAATTTTTTTTCTTCTCCAACAGTAGCAAACTTCAAACTACATAATGTAAAAGTTGTGAATAAAGTAGGTTTTATGGCCAGGGATTTAGCTCAGCAGCGCAGAGCCTACCTGGAAAATGTGAGGTTCTGAGTTCTATTCCCAAAAAATTAAATTTTTTTTTACTTTTAAAAAAGCGTGTTTTATTTTAGTGCCATCAACAATCCCAGTTTGAGAGCACACATCTGGATTAGACAATGAGTAAGATCCTCATTCTCAGTTGTTCCTGTCAAGGTTATAAGAAAGTCCTTTATAACACAGAGACATCAGGCTTTAGTCTAGTTCTACTGTCTCCTAGGAAATTCCAGCGCAGTGAACTCCTCAGACAAGCTAATTAACACTATGAGATTACGGTAGCGGAGAGCTAGTCATAAACATCATACATACACATTTTATATCTCTATTTCAAGCCTTGGGAAAAAACACACTCGGATCTCAGCCTTATATTTCCATGGTCTCTTCTATCCAAGCTCGATTCATTTTACCATTTATTCTAACCAAAAAGAACACAAAGAAATTACAGTTTTCCTTTTTATTCTATCTGCAACTTTTGCTACTCACTGTCTGTCCAGGCTGCCCAACTCCAGTTGGTCCTGGAGCTCCTGTTCTTCCTTCTTGGCCTCTCTCTCCCTGAGAAAGAAATAATAGAGTGTGAGTTTTTAAATGAAGACTAGGGGCTGGAGATATAGCTCAGCGGCTCAAGCACCTGACTAGTAAGCACAAGGTCATGAGTTCGAGTCCCAGGACCAAAAAGAAGAAAGGATAAGTGAAGAATAAACACCACAAAATATTCTGCAGATTTCAACAAGGACAATTAGTAAAATAGCCAAACTTGTCATATTCATGGACATTAAAATAATCCTGGAGAAGGAGAAATTGCTTGAACAAATAACCATACAACAGTCATCGTCTCTACTTGTCTAAGGGCAACACGGCCATTTCCGCTTTCACAAACTCTTGTGCAGTCACGGCAGGGTGGACTGTGTGGCGATTCCTTTGGGTACTGAGATAGGCAGGCTAACAGCGTTTGTGCTGTTCCCTGCCACCACCCTAGAAGGCCACTCCTTCCTCTCCTCTTTCTGTCACACTTTACCTCTCTTTTAAACTCAGATGCGTGATCTCCTTCAAACCCGTCTCCAGTAAATCTGCCTATATAAACTCCACCTTCATAGATCCTCTCCATGCACTCATTGCTGAAATGCCGCTTGTTCAAGGTACTGCTCTGTACAACTCTCTATTTTTGTCCTGCATCAAAGTCTTACTGTCCCAACCCCAGAGAGGAGCCATGTAAATCACACGCTTCTGTTCTTTCATATATTGCATGATGCAGGGTACCCTGCTAGGGATTCCGCCTAACTTTGTAATTCCATATAAACTTTTCTGCCAACATTGACTTATGCAGTGCCATTGTCTCTCCGGTCTCTAGCCCTCTGAGCTTATTTAATGTGAGCAAGTGGTCATCGGTTAAAGTGTTTCACTTTCCAATAAGATATTCGCATGCTGATATTTAGAGTCCATGAATCTCAACAGGAATACATGTCCATCTTGAAAAAGTAGGTAGTCAGAGACAAGCAAATTTTCCATTCCAATCAAATAAAGAAACGATAGTTTGCTTATCCTTATGGTAACTGCCCCTGACTAGAATATTACAATGTCTGAGCACCCACGTATAAATAATTTCTGCTAAAAAGTTCCCTGTTACTATGATAGTTGGGTTGAACAGACTTCAGGTCACAGTTCCCAGCCCCTCATAGTCATCAGTGGACAAAGACGTAAGTATTTTTACCTTAATACCTTGCTGTCCAATGCCAGGGGTTCCTGGAGGGCCATAAGGACCAGGAGGACCTGGATCACCCTAGAGGAAGAAATAGTGATATGTTTGGTCGAGTCAATAGTACTTGTTGATAGGTAAATAGATGCAACTCAAGACCGTACTCATAAGTGAAATAAATCAGACTCACATGTGGAAGTATCATATTGTGTCCCTGGTGTGAGGAACTGATAGAGTAAGTAAAGTCTAAAACGCAGTCGATATTGTCAAATGGGAAGAAATTGTTCAAAAGGAAAAAGGGACTAGGATGGGGGAAGGGGGAAAGGAAGGAAGGAAAAAGGAAAAAAAAGCAAAATACAAGACAGTTATACTACTAATTTCTCTTAGTTCCCTGAAAATAAAGGCTAGTGCTAATATTGTTCAGAGACTTTTATAAGCCCATATCTTGTACACTGATTACTTTAAAGAAAGCAATACTCAATATACTAACTATTGTTATTCTCCTATTTTTTATGAAATTTTGTTTTACTTTTTTCCATAAAATAAAAAATTAAATAAATTTTAAAAAGTAGGACTTGATGAGCTTCTCTTCTATGTATAGTGCTGCAAGAGGGGCTTTGAGGATGACAGAAAAAATTAATTAGCAGTCCCGACCTAAATTTTCTACAATCCAACTGGAAAGATAACTTAGACGCAGGGTCAGATTATCTACTCGGCACAGTAAGCCCAGTGTCCGGGACCCACAAGCTTTCAGGAGTCCATGGAAATAGTTTCATTTTAATTTTTAAAATCAGAAAAAAAATAATAATGACTATATAGTAACAAGTCTAGCCTTGATTGTATTTGTCTTTATATCAACTCGGTCACATAATATGTTCCCTAACAATTTATATGGAGGAAGATACACACAAATGCAAATCTTTTAGGACCTCTGGAAGTGATAATGCGACCCACACTCATTCATTGAGCAAATCTTTGCCGAGCATCCTGGTAGATGAATTTTATTTCTCCACAATGCCTTCTTTTCCTTCTTCACCTTCCTTGCTGATAGAATCCTGTTCAGGTCAATGTCAGCTGTCTTTGCTCTCAAAGACAGCTATAAGATACATGGCAATTACTCTAAAGCAAGATTGGGAGCTCCGTTCCCGTGGCCACTGATGAGTCTAGGTTGGTCATGTGGCAGTTCAGAGGAACTTTACTGGGCATATAGGAAAAGTCTCTTGCCTCTGCCTCTTCTTCCTACATGTAGAGGCAGTGATTGTCTTGTAACCATACCACAAGAGTCTCTAGGATGAAAGCTAAGAGTTGAAGGGGACTATGCACAAGAGATGGAGAAAAGCCTGTCTGCAAGATAACCTCACTGAGCTGACCCATTCTGGATACCTATGCAAATACTCTGTCTACTCAGAAAGGAGAGTTATTCTATGATTGAACCACTCTTAGTCAAGACTTCTGTTACTCAAAGCCAAAGCATTTTCAATTAATATAGCTTACACTGTGGCAAGTCCGTAACAGAACTCAACCATCTCAGAACTGGATGGAGCCATGGCACCCAACCCTCCTGGTCACAGGTGAGGAGCCTGAGTCCCAACAAATTACCTGGCCTGCACAAAGTCATTTCCTCAGTGTTATTCACATTGATACAGCTGTTAGGGCCCTGGGCTTCTGGTCCTGTGGCATGATGAGAGGCCAAAAGGATCCCAATTGCTCTTGATATCAGCTGCTTTTTTTGTAATGTTAAATTTTTCTGTTTATCAAAATGGTGCATCCTAAACCAGGCGTGATGGCACATCCCTTTAATCACAGCACTCGGGAGGCTGAGGCAGGAGGATCATTGTGAGTTCAAGACCAGCCTGGACTACAAAGTGAGCTCAAGGCCAGCCTGAACTGCATAGCCAGATCCTGTCTCACAAAGAGGAAAAAAAAGGTATATCCTTATCTTACAACATTCATGTTCACCTTACAATATTTATCAGATGTTAAAAAGTGCATATACAAAGAAATTTTTAAATTACTCATTTATACTTGGTATTAATTTTTGGTATGTTTCCTTCCAATATTTATATACACACATGTATATATAATCTCTGCTAAAGAGGATTTCTGAATACTATGAGTTAATGAATAATTGCTATTTAAAATCTCATTCAACCCAAAGTTGTCTCTGTTTATGCTTGCAAACAGTAAAGTGGAATGCAGGTTGAGACTAGCCTTCTCTCAGATGAAGGAAAATTAAGGAATTTTCATGAAAGCCCCAATTCACCCTGGAGACCTATGATTCTGGAGGGGACACCTCGCAACAGAGCAATGTTGTGTTGGTGTGGGTACAGAAGTGTTGCTTCTCAGAAGTCTGTTGACATTGACCAATTGGAAGGAGAAAGAGGAGTCAAGTCAGCTTCCCAGAATATACACCCAGACTCAAAAGTACCTAAAGGAAACCCATCTAAACCTCAGTCATCAGAGCTTATCACATTTTAAGTGGATTGAGCTCAAAAGTCCTGGCTATTCATGCTCTTAAGAACAAGACATTCTGGCAGATAATTCAATTAGAACTTTTCCTTTAAAATTTAAAGATATTATTTATTTTTCTATATATTTAAATTTCCTGGAGCAGCCAGGTGACTGCTATTCTTATTTTACATTTTCTTGGCCATGGAATCTCTTACTTTTTGTAATAGTAATCATCTCTTACTTGATGTAAATATTTGCACTAAATTTGAAGTTGTTTGCTTAATCTCAAAGTACAAGTAAGTGCTAGAAAACACTCATCTTCCTACATATTCCAAATTTTCTCCTCAAGGAATCTTTTCCTTACGTCTTCTTGTGCTCCCCACTCAAGTTGGAATCTCCATGTCATTTATATAAGTCTAATATGAATGACTGCCTCCGTCTTTCAGCAGATGGACACCAAGTATTTGATATATGGATGGTCATGAATAAATACAGAGACGTTAAGATCTAGTGCGGTTTAGGTCTAGGGTGCCCCCTAAAAGTCTCATGTGTTTGGATGCTGACGGGATCACGGGCGTGCTACGTTGAATGTGCAAAATGTGCTGAGAGAGATGGAGCCTAAGAAGAGGTGAGTCAGTGGATGATAACCGGGAAGGGTGTATCTCCCTCACTGGCTCCTCACTTCTTTCTCTGTTTCTTGGTTGTCATGGGATGAGGAGCTGTCCTCTGCCCACACCCTTTCATATGCTGTTTCAACTTAGAGCTTGCCAACCACGGACTGAAACTTCTGAAACTGTGAGTGAAAAACTTCTCCTTTACTGTAGGTGTCATGCATTGTATCTTAGTGACAAGGAAAGTAACTAAGACAAATTCTTATTTGAGCATGGTGGTGTATGCCTGTAGTCCTAGCACTCCGGGAGGTTGAGTCAGGAGGGTTATAAATTGGAGCCCAGCCAGGGAAAATAACTTAGTGACACTATGTCTCAAAACAGCAGATATTTTAAAGGGCTAGAAATGTAGGTCAGTACAAAGGCCCTGGGTTCAATCCCCAGTACTGCCAAAACAACAACAACAGCAATAATAATAACACACTGAGTTGCAGTTTTGTTCTGTAATAGGTAAGAAGACATTTAAATACATTTGGTAGACATTACAAGGGTTTTTTAAGTAGTGGAAGGTCTACCCTACTTAACATGTATCTGTATGTCTGGTCAGGAGCCAGCAGCACATATTGGTAATAGAGTTTCTTCTTACTGCTGACAGGGAATTGGTTTGGTTGTTACCTTGAAATGTTTGAGCCAGGAGAATCAAGAAGAGATGCAACTATCTTATACTTGTATCCATAAGCTCCCTCTGGCCTTAGTCAGGTACCCATAAGAACTGAGAAATTTCTTAGTATTAATTTTTCAAGATTAGAGGAATCTGAAGATTGCAGAGTGATTGGCTGTGCTTATCTGACCACAGTTCCTTTGCAATGTATTTTCACATTTCACTTGCTTAAATTTTTGTCTCAGAAGCTTGGCATCTTGGCATGTGACCTGCACACCAGTATAAGGCTACAGTTCCTATTTATTCCATTGTACTTTCCCACAGGTATTCCTGAAGTGGTGAAGAAAGAGGTCTTCACTGTAAGATATTATATCTCAGTAACACAAAGCAGGGAGAGGAATACACCAAGACAATACAACCAAGGTAAGATTTGATACCTTTCCTGCTATTATCCTTGCTCCAACCCCCTTCCCAACAAAGAGAGAGAGAGAGAAAGAGAGAGAGAGACTGCATTCCTACAGTATTATTTCCCTACATTACTTTCTTTGACTATGAGAGTCTTTAACCAACAGGTGAGAATAACAGAAAAACACTGGTAAAATGGATTAGCCCAGAGAGAGTTTTTCTTCTGACCTCCATGTGAGCATGGATATATATGAGTGTGAGCATGTGTGAGGACAATGAGATGGTTAAAAAGACCACCTCAGTCCTCCCCAGAAATTAAGAATACCCCTGCTGCTATGGGCCCCAAGAGCACAGGAAGTCAGTGTTTAATGAAGCATGCCATTTACAAGCATTACCTGGATACTATCGATGCAATATATATTATATGCTATACATATATATGCTATATACTATACATAAATAATATATTGTATACTACTCATATATAATATACTATACATATATGTTATATACCAGACACATAAAATACATTCATATATTATCTCATTTAACCTTCTAACAATTCCAGGAAGGATTTTCTATACTTTATAGGGTAGGAATATAATCTCCATTTTTAAATCCACTTTTCATCATGCATAGAATCACAGGGGCAATAAACCTGGCCAGGGTTTTATAGTCTAGTGGAATCCTGGCTCTATTATTTATGAATAATTTGAGCTTTTACAAGATTCCAAAATGCAGGGTAATCAATCCACTTTGCAGGGTTGAGAGGGTTCAAGACACTGTCTGTAAAATATCTGAGTCATGACCAGTCACACGGTAGCTATTTAATATGCGTAGACTCAGTTATTATTCACCAGGTCTTACTGACCAACAGCAGGTCTAGTAAAGAAGAATCCATGCCTATAATTGGTTATCAGTTTTCCATAATTAGAGATATAAATCAGATTGCACCTGTA